CAGGATATGGAACGGGGTTGCCCCCAGGGCTGCCCCCGTGGTGAAGCCAATGGGAGCCGTGCATGCAGCTGGCCATCAGCCCATATCACTGCCTGCTGCAGTTTGCCTGTGAGGATGCTACAGACAGAGCCTGGCAGAATTCAAAACAACCTCTGCTCCTCCTCCTGTGGGCTCTCAGGCTCTGCCTGCCCACAGCCCCCTAACAGCCATAGGCCACCACAGACTGCAGGGTCCCACTGACGCACCCCAGGCATGAGGTGCAGGAGATCCCCAGCACAGGTGAGGATGTGCTCACATGAAGATCCCTGCTGCAATCCACTTTCCTGCATGTTCAAACCCAACATGGAGTTCAGGATGTCGGTGTGTGCAGCAGGCTAATGTACCCCCACCAAAGCTGAGGACACACTGTTAATGAGCCAAAGCCTCTTTAGGAGCTGACAAAGGCATCAGGAAGGTGTGGGGCTTTGCTAGGCTCAGAGTGGGCAGGGCAGGGCTCTGCTTTCCCGGTGGAGCAGAGTAGATCCATATGGAGGTGCATGGCAGAACAGCAGGAGCTCCAGCCCTAGGATGAACTGCTGCAGAGTAATATCGAAATTCAGCTTTTTTGCCATGGAAATAAAGCGTGCATGAACAGACATTTGAGGCTTGTTCCCCTCTGCTTGCAACTCACGTGATAAGTGTGCACGGGGAAATCGCAGCCACCACACCCGCTGCTGGCTGCTGCATTTCCAGCGCAGGGGGGCTGTGGCTGGGAGCTCTGTGGCTAACACCAACGAGGGAGAGCTTTGCTCATGGAACTTCACACCTCCTGCAGCGACCAAGATGAGGGGCTGGGGCTTGCACTGTGCCGTCCTGCTTGGCACTGGGGAGGTGCAGTGGAAATACAGCGCAGCGCGGAGCAGTGCCCCCGGTGCAGAAGCACTGAGATGCTCAGTGGAAAGAAAGGAGCCATCGTTTATGGCTGTTGAATTTGGCCAGGCTGAGCTGGAGAGAGGAGGAGGCCCTGGAAGGAGCTGCTGCAACCACAGCTGATGCCAGTGCCACCAGCACAAACCTCCTGCGCCGCAGCCCCCAGCTCCCTGCAGCTCATCCCGCTGCCCTGCGCCCACTTTTGCTTCCAGCTCTCAGTTCTCTGCCCTGTGTCTGCTGGTTGCTCCACCCTAGGGCTCTCTGCCATCAGGAGGCTCCTGCAGCTCAAGCAATTTCCAGCCAATCTCTCTATCAAGCTTTCCCTGTTCCTGGAACTGAGCTGCTTTTATTGCTTTGGGCCCACCCAGCCATGGGCATGAGGTTTGTTTGGGTGTGGGGACAGCCATAAAAGAAAGCTACCATTATTCACTAAGGAGGATTACGGGGAAGGATGCTGCAGGGTGCACGGCTCCTGGCACAGCGGAACCCTGGGGGTCCTGGAGCTCAGCTCAGCCATCACACAGCGCCCCAACCCTGGAGCTTCAGGGAGAGCTGGGCTGCAGAACGGCTTCATGCAACTGTGGAACTTTCTTCTCCTCTTTGCTTGCAGATGCTGAGCGCACAAAGTCCAACGGGTTCATTGATAACCTGCCTTTACTTCCCACCCAGGAAGAGCTCTGGATTTTCTGCCTGCTTTTCCTGGGGCAGAAATCTTCCTGTAAGTCTGAGCAATGCATGTCCTAGGGCTCCAAAGGCACTGCAATTCTGTTTTCCCTGTTTCTCTCTTTGTCCAAGGACTGAGAAGAGGCCAAAGCGAGGTGGATTTTTTTTATTACACTCTAATTTGGTTTGAAATACCTTACATTTAATCCTCTTTTGTTTGCTTTATTTCAAAACAAAGTCCAGGAAAAATCTGAGGCATGCATAGAGAAGCATTAGTTTTCCCCTAAGTATTTTTCCAGAAACTGCCCCTGCTGGAAGAAGCATCCTGTGATGCGATACAGCCTCTTATCAGCACAGTCAGCTTGCTGAATCCTGTCTGCACGGCTGGCACAGGCTGGGATTCCCACCACGACACGATTTAGGGGAAACGCAAAGCCCGGAGCGGCCGCACAGCCCCCAGCCCTCACAGTGCTGCTGCTCTCACCAGAGGTTCCCATTGCAGTGGGTTGCAGGACATGACCTCGTGCTGAACATTCCAATATTTCTCCAGAAGTGTTAAGAATAGGGAAGAAAAGGATCTCTGGATGCTTCAGAAAAGCCATCTGCAGGCGAGCCCCGAGCAAAGGGAGATGAAAGTGCTGCAGGCTGTGCTGGGGGCAGTTTCCGAACTCAGGACAGCTGTGGTACTTCCTTCTCCAAATGAATGCCAACAACTCAGCGTTAAAAACTGCTAAAAACAGCAGCTTACATCAGCCTCATTTGCAGTGTTCCTCTTTCATCGGTCACATTAAGAATTTCCCTACTTCTGTTGTGAGTAAATGTATTTGGGGCCTTTTCTTTACTTAGCACTTTCTCCTGGTAGTTCCGGGTGCCAGCAGACAAGCTCCAACACGCAGCATTATCCATGCAAATTAATGCAACACCACTCATTGCTCCAGACGGCCCGTCCTGCTGACTCCAAGCATCGTCTGCCCATGGTGGGAGCATCGAAACCAGACGGAGCCAAAGTGGGAAAACATCACTTCCCACCACAGCCTTTCCTACACTAACCCAGTTTCCCCTCAGGAGCTCACCTTGACCCTTCCACAGCCATCCCTCCACCCCAGAGCATCATCAGGTAGAGGTCCTTCATCCCAGACCCCCGTGGCTTCTCATTTTCCCAAAAGGGGAAGAGTGAGAATAAATGACTTTCTCATTTCATCATAATGGGGTTGTGGGGGTATGGGCGAGGACATGAGGACACATTTTTTAGGCACTTGTTACAAAATCTCAGGGCATAGCTGATATGACTACAGCCTCCCACCTCTCTCCAGCACACGAATAGCTGGCAGGGTGGTGGTTCTGACAGATTTCTGGGGAAAAAACAGACTCTTAGGAAGTGAATACCCCACATTTGTCATTGTTTTTTGGCTTTCAGCAGTGGAAAAAAATTTGGCCTTTTCCTGGGCTCTGTAATAGTCATGCAATCATAGAACCACAGATTCACAGAATTGTAGAATGACTTGGATTGGAATGAACCTCGAAGATCTTGTAGTTGCGACAACTTATGTGGTCCAGTAGTGATAGGATGAGGCGAAATGGCTTCAAACTAGAAGGAGGGAGATTTAGGTCAGATGTGAGGAGGAAATTCTTCACCCAGTGAATTCACCCATTGAATTCTTCACCCAGTGCTGGCACTGCTGCCCAGAGCTGTGGGTGCCCCATCCCTGGAGGTGCCCAGGCCATGATGGGCAGCCTGAGCACCCGGCCCACAGCAGAAATGGGGCTGACTGGGGCTGTGAGGTCCCTTCCAACCCCAATCCTTTTATGACGTTATGATTCAGTGACCTAATTTTTCAGTGTTAATGAGATCTTTTATCTTCCCCACCACTTCTCCCACCTGCCTTGCCTACGTCATGTACCTTAGGGAGCAGGACAGGACCAGATGGCCGTAGGTGGCAAATCTCAAGACACGACCCAGGAACGCTCAAAGTTACAGTCACAGGGAACAGCTCAGAGGCAAACCATGCTCTTACGTATGTCTGCAAGCTGCATTCCCTGAGCAACAAGAGAGAAGAGCCAAGAAGAACTCAGAGCTGGCTCCTGGTCCAGCTGGCTGAGCACCGGCTCCCCGCCGCCTGCCGGGCTGCGGAGGAACGCTCTCTCCTCATCTTCCAGCTTCTGGGGGCTGAGCGCAGGCACAAGCAGTGACACATCACAAGGCTGTGCTCCATGTAACACGACCTGGGAAAACTGGAGAGTTGGGAAGGGAGGAACCTGATGAGGTTTAGCAACAGCAAGAGTAGAGTCTTGCACCCGGGAAGGAATAACTGCATGCATCAGTACAGATCAGGGGATGACCTGCTGGGAAGCTCTGTGGAGAAGGGGCTGGGGGGCCTGGTGGACGACAGGTTGGTCATGAGCCAGCAGTGTGTCCTTGTGGCCAAGAAGGACAGTCAAAAGGCTATGTCAAAAACTGTGACCAGCCGGTCAAGGGAGGTGATCCTCCCTCTCTGCTCTGCCCTGCTGAGGCCGCATTTAGAATATCGTGTCCAGTTCTGGGCTCCCCAGTTTAAAACAGACAGGGATCTTCTAGAAGGAGTCCAGCAGAGAGCCACAAAGATGATGAAAGGCCTGGAGCATCTGTCGTATGAGGAAAGGCTGAGTAACCTGGGTCTGTTCAGCCTGAGAGGAGATCAGTGTTTATCAGGGAGGTGAAAGGCAAATGGGTGAGGGGGCTCTTCTCAGCACTGTGTAGCAATGGGACAAGGAGGTGTTTTAGGTGATGGCCTAAAACTTGAATGTAGGAAGTTCCATACAAACATGCAAAAGAACTTCTTTATGGTGAGGGTGATGGAGCACTGGAACAGGTTGCCCAGAGAGGTGCTGGAGACTCCTTTTATGGAGGTCTTCAAGACCTGCCTGGACACCGACTTGTGTGACCTGCAAAGGGGTTGGACTCGATGATCTCTTGAGGTTCCTTCCAATCCCTGCAATTCTGTGATGCTGTTGGAGTTGGGGTTGCCTGTGAGGTAGGCTCCAGAGACCCCTTGGTGATGAGCATTCCATGGGACCCATCCTGCTCACATCTGGGACTCCCCTGTTGGAGTGAGATTTGGAAAACATTCATCTTCACAGTTCCTGGTCTTAAGGAGCAGTGTCTTCTTCACCCTGCCCATAGATCTCTCTCCACTGTAGCTGCAGTCACAGTCAGCATTCCTGTGCTCCATTTGGCTATGCACATCTTTGTGCCCAGCAATGACAAGCTGCACCTCACCTACCAGGAGTCACTGACATTCAAGCATCTAATCTAACCTGGACATTTAAGGTCTTCTCCCCAACAGTAGGGAATGTGCTAAGCAGGGGGTTGGACTTTACGATCCCCAGGAGTCCCTTCCAAACCCTACAATTCTGTGACTCTGAGACTCATGGGACATGGATGAGGCAGGCATCTCCACATTGTGCTGCTGGGTCAGTGGGGGCTGTGCAGATCTGGGATGGAAGCAGAAGAGACCTCAGCCCCCTTTTTCCTAAGCTCAGTGTTCATCGTGTGTGCAACTCCTGCTAGGATGCACTGTCATCTCTAAGCAGCTCATGCAGGTTAGGTAACACAGCCCTGTTGACAAATGCAGGGACCTCCAAAGCGGAACTTCTTACTAAAGGAAGATGCACGAGAGAAGCAAAAATAGATATGGCGATTGTTTCATATCCTGTGCCACTGGGGAGGCTGTGGCCACCGCATTGTTCCATCATGCGACCGTGCTGCGATCAGCTCCTTCTCAGGGGGAAATTCCACCGTTCTACGCAAGCAGCTGCCCGGAGCCACACACCCTATAAATTGGGCAGTTGCTGAATGTCTCAGCATCACAGAGAAGAGAGACCTCCGAGCTCCACTTGCACTCTCCAGCTCCTGCCACCACTCCCATCTGACATGAAGGTCTCTGTGGCTGCCCTCGCCGTTCTCCTCATTGCCATCTGCTACCAGACTTCTGCTGCACCAGGTAAGTCCTGGCTCTCCAAACCTCTCCAAATGGGGACCAGGGAGATGCTGCTGCTGGGACAGGATCCTCCCTGCCAGCCCTTCTACCACGGCTCCCTTCCCTGACCCATCAGGGCTCTGCTCCCAGCTCCCTGCCACCTCTCCCTGCCCCATGCCCCTGCTCACAGCCTCCTTTGCCTTTGCAGTGGGTTCCGACCCGCCGACCTCCTGCTGCTTCACCTACATCTCCCGGCAGATGCCCTTCAACTTTGTGGCAGACTACTACGAGACCAACAGCCAGTGCCCTCGTGCTGGTGTTGTGTAAGTGTCCCCCTGGTCAGAGGGCTCTGCCTTTGGGCTGAGGATTCCTCTGCATTTTGGAGTTGGGAGGGAACAACTCCTTTCTGGGGGAGTAGGATGGATGCGCACCCAATGGGTGCAAGGGGATGCTGGTGGGGCTCACACTGGTCCTGCCCCAGGGCTCTGCTGCCCGTGTGGCCAGCACCATGCGCCCAGATTGTGCCGACTATCAGCAGGAGGGGGTGAGGAATGGAGGAGGGGTCGCCTCCATGCAGGACTCTCCCATGGGATCTCACCTGGCTGCTCCCTGCAGGTTCATCACCAAGAAGGGCCGCGAGGTCTGCGCCAACCCTGAGAACGACTGGGTGCAGGACTACATGAACAAGCTGGAACTGAACTGATGCGCCAGGATGGGATGAGCAAGCAATGGCCGGTTGCAGGCCCTGCCAGAAACGCAACCGTGACATTGAGAGCTGCCCAAGAGACTGAAAATGTCCCCGAATCTGCTTTACTATTTATATATTAATTGTTCATAATGGAAGGGAGCAGGTGAAATAATACCACTCCAACCAAATTGGAAGATTATTTAACAGATATATATTTTTTTAAATTAAGAGTTATGTTTGGATTATGTTTTCTGTATTTAATGAATTGTATTTTTGATATAATATTTAATTCAAACGTTGAGAAATAAATATTTTTTTTAAGAAATTTCTGTCTTTGCTCTGTTTGTGTTGATCTCAGCTGAAATTATAATTGTGATGACATCTTCATTTTTTGCCCAAGGAGGCTGTGGATGCCCCATCCCTGCAGGCATTCAAGGCCAGGTTGGATGTGGCTCTGGGCAGCCTGGGCTGCTGGTTGGAGACCTGCACACAGCAGGGGGTTGGAATTGGATGAGCACTGTGGTCCTTTTCAACCCAGGGCATTCTATGATTCTATGATTGATTCTCTTTACTAAGCTGGCAAAACCCCAAAAGTTTCCCTATCTTACGTTTTGCAAAATAAGCAAAAGAGAGAAAGAAAGAGGAAAAGGAAAAGGAAAAGAAAAAGAAAAAGAAAAAGAAAAAGAAAAAGAAAAAGAAAAAGAAAAAGAAAAAGAAAAAGAAAAAGAAAAGAAAAAGAAAAAGAAAAAGAAAAAGAAAAAGAAAAAGAAAAAGAAAAAGAAAAGAAAAAGAAAAAGAAAAAGAAAATGAAAAGAAAAAGAAAAAAAAAAAGAAAATGAAAATGAAAAGAAAAAGAAAAAGAAAAAGAAAAAGAAAAAGAAAAAGAAAAAGAAAAAGAAAAAGAAAAAGAAAAAGAAAAAGAAAAAGAAAAAGAAAAAGAAAAAGAAAAAGAAAAAGAAAAAGAAAAAGAAAAAGGAGATGTGGGAGGAGCGCAGATGCAGGTAGTTTGGATCACTCATTTTAAGTTATTTAGTTACTGCTGGTGTATAACTACTGGCACCCAATTAAATTCCTTTCAGCCCTCAGGGGTTGAAATCATAGAATTATTAAGGTTGGAAAAGACGGCCAGGATCATCAAGTCCAACCTCAACCCATCCCACCATGCCCTCCAATCACGTCCCTCAGTGCCATGTTTTCCTCCGTGCAGCTTCCAGCCGCCCTGCCCCAAGCCCGCAGAGCTGCGTGGGGCTGCTGTGCCCCCAGTACGGAACTGAGCACTTGGTCCTGTTGCAGCTCATCCCATTGGCCTCAGCCCAATTCTCAGCTATTCCCAGAGCTGAGAGCTGAGAATGGAAAAAACATGCTTCACTGCCAAATCTGTAGAACTATTTGGTAAAACTCGTGCAGCTGGGACACAAGGCTTAGCAAGTGCATGTCTCTCCAGAGAGCAGCTGTTCTTCCCCTGTGCCACCAACACCTGCCCATCTGTACGGATCTGAAGCAGTGTGCTGCACATCTCCCCCAGCCCCTCTGCCAGACCCATACCCAAGTAGCTGGTGAAGATGGAGCCCACCAAGTGACTGCAGTGAGGCTGATGGGATGAGCTCTGGACACACACATTTGTGTGAGAAATGAAGGTCTGAGTTCTGCTGCGCCTGGAGCTCCAGTGCCCATCGCACATTCCAAGCAATTTGTTTGGATCTGGAGAACCCAGGTCCTTTCTGGAAGGGCTGTGCTCTATCATTTGTTCCTCAGCTTGTGTTGACAGTGGAGGTTGCTGTGACCCAGGTTAGTCGCACTGCATTTGTTGAACTTCGTGAGGTCTCCTAGCCATGCTGCTCAGTCTGTCCAGGTCTTTCTGGATGGCATCTTATCCCTAGGGTACATTGACAGCACCCTCAGCTTGGTGTCATCCACAAACTGCACTTGATTCTGCTGTCAGTGCCATCAAGGAGATATTAAAGAGCACTGGTCCCAGCACTGATCCCTGATGGACACCACTCGTCACTGATCTCCATCTGGACACTGAGCCATTGACCACCACTCTCTGGGTCCAGTCTGGCAAGCAGTTTCCCTTCCATCAAAAAGTCTGCCCACCAAATTCATATCTTTTCAATTTGTAGAGAAGGATGCTGTAGTGGACCACAAGGCCTTACCAAAGTTTGGATAGATGGCATCAGTGACACTTCCCTTGCCCATTGATGCAATTATGCCATCACAGAAATCCATATGTTGGTCAGGCAGGACCAACATATTGATGAAGCCATACTGCCTGCCTTATATCACTTTGCTGCCTTCCATGTGCCTAACCATAGCTTCTGGGAGGATCTGCTCCATGATCTTACCTAGCAGCATTCCAACACCCTCAAGGATGAGAGAAAACCTTGGCCGCCGTGTACCAGCCAACACCCTGCCTGTGTGCTGCAGCCTGTTCCTTCACCCACAGGCTGAGTCTGGCACAAAGCTGGGCATCAACAGCTGCCCTCACTCCAGGAGCAGGGGACAGAAGCCCCTATCCAGGACAGGGAGACCGACAGCAGGGATTCAGTTCTACAGTCCCTCACGGTTGCAGCTCCCCAGACCTCACAGCACCAGGAGCCATGGGGTCCTCGAGGGTCAGCTGCCAGCACCACCAGCCCAGCACCGAGTCCATTGCACACAACAGCATGCACCAGCATCCTTAGCTCCTGGGTCATGCTGGAGCCACCCACAGCAGACACCTACTCTGCGTACCTCAGCTAACCCACACCACTATTCTGGGAGCCCACAGGGAGCTCTGAATTGCTCATGTCGTTCTTTACACCCACCCACGTGTGCCAGCTCAGTGCGTGCGAGGAGCGCAGCGCTCTGCTAACCCACACCCCTGGCACACGGCTGTGAGTCTGCACCAGCAAAGCGAGGGTGGTCGCAGCCCACAGCTGCCAGCAGAGCCCAGAAGCAGCATTCCTGGCACCGAGCTGGCTCACAGCAAGGGCAAGATGCAGCTCACAGCAGAGTGGCTCATCAGGGCCACAGCTCTGCTTGGGCTCAGACAAACCCAGACAAGAGCGATAGCCTCAGTGGTTTCAGAATTTGCAAGATACTGCAGAATTTGCTGCTCTGTTTTCTGAGCCTGCAAACAGAACGTGGTATTAACCACATGTTCTGTGAGATGTATATTTCTTGAGAGTCGGTGCTTTTTGTGCTCTGGTGTGTTTTGGACATGCAACAAAGCATCGTGTTTTCTTTGAGTAAAATTGAACTGTATTATTTGAAAGGAAGTCTACTGTATGCTTCACGTAAGTTTTTATGAAAACCATCTGAAAGCCTAAATGGGAACCAAGCTATAATCTCCATGCGTGTTTTGAGGTAGAAAGACACACGAGGAGCTGGAGATCAGGGTGTTTTCTGAGAGAACACATCTCTAGAACTGCCAGTCTGTAAATCTGACTGCAGAGAGTCCTACTGGGGACAAGCAGCCCCCAAAGCCACTGTGAGTAATGCACAGATTGCTCAGCAGAGTGGCTCTGTGATCACACAGCTCTAGATGTCCTTTCTGGTGAAGGGATGTGGAATCTTTAGGGTGCCTTCACTAGAAGCAGGCACGTGTCAGCAAGACACTCTCAATCCAAAATGTGCCCACAAAGCACACATACACGCAGATCTGTATGTCCATCTTCCTTGGTGGTATAGAAATCAAAAGGAAATGGTGTGACAGTGATCATATAGATCTGCCTCTTATTAATAAATAACCCATGCCCAAGCATGAGGCTCACCAGGCTGCTTGGTGCTGTTTTCCTGGGAGCAGAAGCTGCAGGAAGACTCAACTGCTCAAGCCAGACCACGCTTTCCACATGTCTGAGGCAAGAGGGCTGAGCTGGGGTGGTCTTTGATGGGCAGGAGCTATGTGGGGGCCAGAGCCAGATCGTAAGGAAGGAAATGCAAGGAAATGGTTTGAAGTTGCACCAGAAGATATTTAGATTGTACATTAGGAACCCTTTCCTCATAGAGAGGGTAGTCAGGCATTGGAACAGGCTGCCTAGGGAAGTGGAGTCCCCATCCCCGGGAGGTGCTGAAGGGATGTGTGGATTTGGCACTGAGAGAACGTGGCTTAGTGATGGGACTGGATAGGTCAGGCTGATAGTTGGATTTCATGACCTTGAAGGTCTTTTCCAATTGTCTATAAGCAGAAGTGTTTCCACAGAGGACTTGAGCAAGCTAAGTCATGACTTAGAAAACCAGTCTGCAAGCAGCTTTGGAAACAGCTGTAGCACTAAGTCAGCAGGGAGGTCTAAAAGCTAGGTCCCAGTGCTCCCAATTTTCTCTCTACCCATGGCAATCTGGTCTGGGCATCTCAGGACAGTGGTGTCAACCCAGAGTGGTTTCTTACTTGCAGGTGATTCCACGAAATGGAAAACTGCACGGCATATTCAGAGATATCTCATGCCTTGGACCTTTACTCTCCTTCCATGGAGATGCAGATTCATGACTTCTAGGAACACACTGGACGTTGTGACAGAGTGAGCTCACATCCTTTCTGCTCAGCCATTCACTTGTTCCCTCATTGCACACTTGCATATTTGCAAGACCTCTGATTGCGTTTCCTCCTGTTTCGTCTGAAATAGCTGCTCATCCCTCCTGCCCTGCAGTAGTGCTCCTCGTCCGGCACTTTGTTGCTCTTGCTTCCTGGTGAGCTTCAGCGTCCCCATCTCCTGTCATCTTGGTGATGTTCAGCCTGGTCTCTTCCCATCTGCCACCCTACGCAGCGGTTTCCCTGGCTGTGCTCAGCTGCCTCAGCTTCCAGTCCTCTACCAAGCCCTCAAAGTCGTATCCTTTCCATAGTTTTTCATACCCTCTATCTTTAAGATCCTCCTGGAGGTCAGAAAGAGGTGCAGAGTCCACCAAAACCCTTCCTGGGACGTGGCAGATCTGGGACTAGCCTCATGTAGATGTGCTCTCCTCTCTGCTGTGCAGCCCCAAGAGAGAGATCCTGCAGTCAAGGGAAGCTGGGTGGGACTCAAAAAAAAGAAGTACCAAAAACCAGCTGAGAGGAATTGCAGAGCTGCATCCAGGGCCACTTTTCACTAGGAGTCTCCTAATCTCCAGCTAGACACCCCCAAAGAAACTGTACCAAACATCTGAAACCATTCCTTATCAAATCTTATTTTATTCTCATTGAATCAGTCACTAAATTAAGATGCTTCATTATTTCTGTCTCCATTGCTCAGGGCATAGCTGCTGGGCAGCACCTCCAGCCCCTGGATGCTTTCAGTGAGCATCACTGGCTGATGCAGCAGCTGAGCTGAAGAACAAGAGA